CTTTGTTTATTAATGAACACATTGTTAATAATTGACCTCCAGAACTTTCTATTTCTGCCTGCATATTTTTGTGATACTTATCCCCGTCAAGTATACTTGGATCCAACGGATTTTAAAAATGGTCCCTGATTGGAGTCAGCGCTAGCCACTTGGATAGAAGTTAATTGTCTTTTAAATTTAAGGTATTTTTCCCTCTAGATGTAACTGATAATGTATTTGTATGAGAACGCAATGTTTAGGAGGCAGCACTAGCATGCTGACATGCAGATGCATATTTATGTTTCTCCCACTGAACAGCAAAGTGTGACTTTCTTGCTTGTTGCTGGCCTCTTGGACTCTGCTCTGATCTACTTTGTGCCTTTGGCAAAGAGTTGAACATAGTACAGTAACGTGCTTATCTGGCTGTGACATGGGTTTTCCATATCTGGCCAGCCAGGAATCTACATGGACATGACTGGCTGTGTCTTTGGTGTGTACAGTCTCTCTGGGCTGCACCTTAACTCCTGTTCCTCACTGACACTTAAAGAGGCCATCTGTAAGATTTAGCCAAGCTGGGGGAGGACCCGCCAGGCTCCTGATTAAAGCGATGAGCTGTAAAATTGAAAGGGAAGGGGGGTTGACAGCTGGCTCCTGCCTGCTACACTGAGCTTCATCTTGTCTGCTGGGAGACGAACCTTCCTGGTCTACCTGCTCCCCCTGTCACTGTAAATGGGTTTGTTTATGTCTACATTGTCAAGACTGCTATATGGTAGACTGCTAGAATTCCTCGCTTCAGTTCTGCTCCTTGCATACTATTGATCCATCATAATTAGTCGACTGTCGAGTCGTTATAACACTGACAGCTTTTATTGTTTGGATACTCTTTGTAATTGTGGTTTTCACTGTCATTTTAAGTGAGAGACGTTTGCTAAAATCTTTGGACTGTGTGTGTGGGAAGGGTACGTCAAACCTGTAAATGTGAAAGTTAGCATTTTGTGGTTCAGTCTTTACACAGGCGTCTCTACATGTAAGCAGCTGGGATTTAAAGCAAATTATAAAATTGTTATAATTCAATGTTTAATATGCATTTAAATGTTGAATATTTGCAAGCATAAACTATATTTAATTCATTTAAATGTTAAAAGCATTGTATTGCAGAAATGCTGAATGCAAATTATACCTTTTCAGCCTTTAAAGCGTCAGTGTGTCATGAAAATCTATTGAAACTGTAAACCAGGATTTGAAAGCAAATGTGGTGATGGCAGTTTTTAACTGCTGTCAACTGTGTGCTCAGTGGAAATGCATGAGTGAAGACTTGGTATGATAATGTGATGACTGAGATGGCAATTTGCAAAGCAGGCCTACTCATATGAGCAAAGCGTCACAAAATAGAAGTCAGAATATCTTTTCTTCCTGAATGACAAAATCTTCTCTACTGCTATCAGTCAACATTTGCATTAGATCATTAAACTTGTTTTCTAATGTAGCTGGCCTTTTCCCTTAAAAATAAATTCAGTCTACAAAAAACACAAAACAAAAAAGATGTTGAATGGTTGTCACACTCGAATCCCCTCATTTAATTTGAGAAAATTTCAAGAATCAAACTGATCTTTAGCTACAAACTAGCTAAGGTGAAAAAATGCTAAATACTTAATAATTAATAGTGTTTATATTCAGAGCAGTTTTCCTGCTACAGTGGAAGGAGCACGCTAAGTATACTGTCTCATAAATTATTTTATTAACATATTTTTAAAGTGCATAGAAATTTTATGTTGTGAAAAATCTTTTTAAATTTGAGAAAACCACAGCTTAGGTTATGTTTTTGTGAAAAGTAACTTGTGTGTAAAAAGTCTGTGACGATCTTTCTTGACATGTCAAAATACAGTAATATTTGATTACGTAGCGTCCTAACTTTTAGGGAAAAGTTTAGCTAAAAAGCTAAAGGGAAGAAAGAGACCAGGCCTCCAACCTGACAGAAGAAAGTCGAAAGACTGTCAGGTAAGAAAGTAAGTAATGAAGACTGGAGATTAAGAGAACAAACTAAAAGAGTTGAAGCAAAATGTCATAACAACTTACATTTCATGATTTCATGATTATTGTAGCTGTAGCTACCGAATATGTGTTCCATGCCTGCTATATTAAAGCTAAAACTGTGCCTGCTGCTTAACATGCAAGCTGAAGCATGTCCACTGTTACTGCTTTGGAGAAAGTGTTCATCACTGAAGATAAACTACTGTTAACTCTCATTCTCATTTGCAGTCAAACTCATTTGCACAAGAAAAAGTGTCTGCTTTGGTTTGTTTGCTGTTTGTATTGAGTGGCACTCATTACGACAATTTGCTGGTATTGATCATAGCTATGAGGAGCGCGAACGTGACTTACTACAGCTGCTTTCTTTATGAGTTAGGATTTTACTTGTCTGTCAAGTGAAGGAAAGAAAAACATGAAATCTAACGGTATCTTCACATCTTAAAAACAGTGCTGTATCTGCATAGATTTGAAGTGGTGATCTAATGACTGAATCTGTTCAGGGAGCCTGCATATCGAACCGGAGGGGTGCGGGTAGCTCTCTCTTAACAGGGCTGTGATGGTGAGGAGGCTAAGTGCGAGTTCAGGGAGGCCACTGTCACCCTGGGGAGGTTTAAAAGCCATGTGCTGAGACAACCATGCGCTCCTCCCCACTGGGCTGTCTGTCAGCTGACTACAACTGGGAATGTGGAACCATGGCAATCTCACATTCAGATTTATCATTGTGATTATCTTCTTTTTGGGTTTCTTACCTGTATTCAGATATACTAAGCAAAATATTACAGCCAGCCCTGCCTAATGTGGTGTTGGTCCTCGGTATTATGTCCGTAAAAAGCATCAAAACACAGATATCTGATGCCAAAGTAAAGTAAAGCTGCTTTCGGCTGCTCCTTCATTCACGAGTCATGACATCACCATTCCACTACGCTCTGAAGCCGCACCAAAGACCAGTCAGGGAGTCCTTTGAGAAGTCCTTTAAGTTAAGGTAATATATGGGCTTGTTTTAGCTTGAGAGGTCAGTGAAGCTGGCCACTAAGGGATTTAGCTATTGTTTTGACTTGCAATGTTGGCCTTGAAATGATGAAAGGATACATTTTTTACTAACAGAATATTGAACGTGGAACATTGGAGCAGAGGAATATAATATGTGAAACTTAATTCACAATTTTAATGCTCCGTTTTTAAACAACATAGCTTAACTATTTGACCACCAAGATAGATTTACATAGCTAGTAATTAACTTTAAGGAAGTGCATCCTAATGCCACACCAGGAGAGTTTCAAGCTGACTTTTAAGGGAGATAACAATGAAAAGCATGTGACTGAAATGTGAACATATCAGCAGGCACATTGAGAATATGCCTAGTATTAGTTCAGGGAGACCAGAAATTTAAGAAATTCTCAGAACCAACCCTTCTACACATCCCGATAGCAGATAGGACTAGGTGTTGAAGCTGTTTTAGTGTGCCTCAGATATTGTATTTCTACAAGCTGCTTTGCAACCCACCCCTTCTTGCTGTTGTTACTGTGTTGCTGCTGCTTCATGTTTTGTTCTAAAAAGAAAGGGGGTCTGTCATTTATCTTTGGTGGCACAAAGCTGTGCCACTAAAGGCAGGGCAGCTGTGGCTACAACTGTAGCTGCCTTCACCAGTGTATGAATGTGAGAGTGAATGAATAGTGGAATTGTAAAGCGCTTTGAGGGGTCCCGAAAAAGCGCTATATAAATGCAATCCATTATTATTATTATTATTATTATTATTAAAGGTGAATGACTGCAGACAGAATATGAATCTTCTTTTGACTATAGTGAACCTCATTAGACATATACATTTAGGTTTATTTCTATAAACAACAAATACAAAAACTACAAGCAAGGACAAAGCCAGATGCTGCACACTAAGATGTGAACACACAACAGCTTTCTTCAAATTTGACACGGTTTGCTTTTCCAGGTGGAATTCAGTGTCTAAAGTGTGAAGAGCAGTGTGCCTGACTCTGCCGAATAAAAATGATTTGGATCCTGGCAGTGTCCCATTTTGATGTTTTTGATTTTTATTACAGGTTCAGACTTGCTAATTCTACAATAAGCTATAGCTGCTAGTAGCTTAGTGTCTCTAAACCCAGTGTTGTTTAGAGTTCCAATAATTTTACATACAATAAAATGTACTGCTGCTTCAAACAGTATAAAGCTGCAAATAACTCAGTGTTTGAAATCTACCAACAATGTTAATGTGTTAATGATAAAACAGAGAGTTCAGTCCTTTTTGCAAATGCAGCATTTAAAATGTTGGTAGGTCAGTGACTATATCCCCACGCTAACAGTGCTAATATGTGAAATCCTTGATGTACGATAGCAATAAGAGTCTATTGAAGAGTTTAAGGCGTGCTGACATGTTCTTGACTTTTTTGTAACTGGTCATGTTTTTTCACTTAGGTTTTCTCCCCTTCGGTACAGCTGTTATTTAAGGATAAAATAGACTATGATTTAAACTTACATGAATAAGTTTAAATCACAATTACTATGAGACCGAGATTAGAAATTATTATAGTTATATTTATTCAAACTATGAACTTGTAGGGAAGAGCGCTACCCGAATGCAAGTGGATATGCCAAGGGAAAATCTTGATCTTTGCTGGTTCTCCTTTATCTTTCTGTCTTTAAGGGAACATAAAGTTCTTTTATATCACAGACGCACACACACATCTATGCAAAGTTTGCTGTCTAAGCATGCGTATGAAGCTGTGGATGAAGCCTGCTGGCATCAACAGATTATTTTTTTTTTTTTTTTTTTGCCAGACAGAACTGCCAAAGCAGTTTCAGAGATATTTCAAAGTGTAAAGGTGTTACTTTGTGTTTCACCATGTGTGATTAGCTCACTTAATATGTTGCTTGCGCTTTTGCCAAGTGTGCACGGAGGAGGCAGACGGCACATCGCATGTGAAAAGAGTTGACACAAGCTCATGATTTCTTTCCATTTCATTTTATTCCTTCAGATGTTGGGAGAGCAGTTCACGCCCCAGCACACATCACAGAAAAAGTGGTACAGCTGTTCAGGAGTAAAAGTGAGTTTACCTTCTTGGCCTCCATCCAGCAGAAGTCCTCCACGTCAGGAGTCATATTCTCCATCCACGAGTCAGAACACAGGTAATCCAGCTGTAATCCTCTTCATTTTGGCCCATGGCTGCTTTTCTGTATAACTTTTCTTCCATGGAGTACAGAGCGTGCTCGTTTTAAATTAAACCTAGACTGGATTTATCATCTTACTCTTAGCTGTTTGCAGAAGGCTGTTGATGAGTAAATTAAAGAGCAGTGTACTATTACAGCATTACCAGTGTAAGCCAGAGCATGATGGCAGGCCAGTCACTGGAATAATAGAGCCCTTCAACCAGTACACTATGGGCAGAAAGATAACGTTCCGTGTTCAGTGTTCATAAGATCACTGTGAGGTATAAAGAAATAGAAAAATGCAAAAAAATCACCAAACCCCTTCTTTCACACAATGCTGTATAAACAACCATATACAAACGTGGAACATATGGCCTTGTAATTGAGCTGCTGTGAACTACCAGTATGGGAAAAAGCTGATTGTTTTTCTTGACAAAATGTGGGAATATTTCTAATGGCTTCTTAGTTGTTAATGAATTCCTGGCAGTGGATTGTAAGGTTTGTCCCTGAAGCCGATGTAAGATATCAGTGAGTGGCAGCAGTGAGATCACCCTGTGGCCCCCAGAGAAGCTATGAGTTGTTTGTAAAGGGCAGGCGACAATGATTTTCCTCCTGTGCTCTAAAGGTAAAAGCCTTAAAGTTCTGTAAAACATGTCGTCCAAGTGAGCATGTGAGGTAGAAATTATCATTTCTTGCTGAGGATCAATACGAGGGCAAAATTGCACACAATGGGAGAGTGAAGTTGAGCTGGTCCTCTAAAGCAAGGGAAACAAGACATACAGTTGCTGAAAAGTTTTAATAGATGTACAGCGCTATGCAAAGGTCTTGAGCCGTGTCCCGTTTCTTTATATTTTGCTAGGAAAATTGACTGGTACTTATAAAGTGGCTTTCTTTTTAGTTTTAAGCTCTAGTGAAAGTCTCATTTACCCAGTTCTAATCTTTTCAAAAAAGCAGTGTATGTGTGATCCTCAAGATATTTGGTAAAAAAAACTTAGGATCAGTATCTTGCCTAGAGAAATTATGACATGAGCTGGGGATTCATCCTGCAACTGGTAGACGACCCACTCTTCCAGATGATCCACAGCTGTCCCACATTGATGTAGTGATTTTTGTAAAAATATGCGTAAACATACATGAAAATACAGTATACAGGGGAAAACAGAAGTTGTACAGTCCTAACACCTTTATTCTTTCACACTGCCTGCACTCTCTTTGGTTGAGCTTTACTTTAATTTCCTTAAATAGGAATTGTCTGGAATAGTTCTCCAGGCTTCTTGAAGGATATTTAAAGTTCTTCTTTGGATGTTGTCTGCCTTTTGTTCTTTTCTGTCTTAGTATCCCCCAGTATCCCACACTGCTTCAATAATTGTGAGGTCCAAGCATTTAAGTTCTATCTTTAATGGTTACAACATTAAATGTTTCATTCATGTTAACCCAAGATATTGCATCCATTCAATGAATTCCTTTCCATATAGGCAACATGATCTTAAATTGGCTGATGAGATAAGCTTTGGTTTAAAGTTTTTATGCATGGAAGTAAAGAATGAGTTCTTCAGGACATCTTTTTTGAGTACTCAGCCTAAGTATATTGCAGTGTATGTCAGTGCCCGTGTACTTATTTCTTCAAGCACGTAGTACTGTATATGATCCACACTTGAAGAGAAATGCGCTGCCCCCTACTGTGCTTTAAAGGTGACCCTTAGAGTTCCTTTTTAGTCCCTCTTCTTCTCTCTCTTTCTCACTTTTTTTCTCACATTACCTTCAGGCATAATTGCTGCACAGTGGGTTGGCCGAACAACAGCAAGCAAAGCTAAATGGGGCCAGATGACTGTACTGCCCTCCTCCTTCAGGCACAATGACATGCTCTATGCAACATATGTAGCCCTGAGGAGTGCTGGGACTAAGCAAATGTTGCATTAAAGGCCCTCAGCCACACTCAAACACACCCAGTTAGATATACTAATTGCTAAGCCACTTATAGTGTATATTGCTCTAAAAATGTTCAGGATAGGGCTGTCCCACCAAGAACTAATGTTGTAACTGCATTTACACTTATGTGTTGTTTACAGTCTTCCAACCAAAACACTAAAGTACATAATTGATTATTGGCATCAAAAGTTGCCAGTTGGTCTGTATTCCCAAACCTCTATTTCAATACTAGCTTTCACTGTTCCTTCCACATCCATTTCAACTTATTCATGACTTTTTTACTATTCCATGTCTTCTAGTGCTGTGTTTAAGGTTTAGTTGGATTTAGTCAAAACCTACTTTAAGTCAGATGTGTTTCATTGTCCATTACCTCTATGTCTTTGTCGGGTTTTGAATTGTCTGTTCACAGTGAGATCCATGAACACACTTTATTACGCAGTAATGAAGATACTGCTTCTGGACAGAAACAGATCAGGCAGGCATTATACAGATTTCTTAAAAATTTCAGTTCAATTCAGTTTTATTTAGTGCCAAGTCATAACAGTAGTTGCTTAAAGTGTGTTATATTGAATAGCACCTTAGGTACAGTACCTGCAGTGTTAGAAAGAGCTCCAGCAGAACCAGGAAGGCGGCAGCTATCTGCCGGTTGGGAGTTAAGGGGAAAACAGATGAGAGAAGAGACCATAGGGAGACAGGACAAAACATGAACTATGGGAGAAATTTAATGCCATACAGTAGTAGTGTATAAACATGCGTGGAGTGAAAGGATGGGAGTGGAACAGAAGTGTTCAATGCATCATGGGAAGGCCCCCAGCAGCCTAAGCATATAACAGTAAAACTAAGAGATGCTTAGGGGTCCCTTGATCCAGCCCTAACTATAAGCTTTATCAAAAAAGAAGGTTTTGAGCCTAATATTAAAAGTAGAGAGGGTGTATTTTTCCTGAATCCAATCTGGGAGCTGGTTCCACAGAAGAGGTGCCTCCCATTCTACTTTTAAGTACCCTAGGAACCTCAAGTAAGTCTGAGAACAAAGAGCTCTACTAGGATGATATGATACTATCGTGTCTGTAAAATAAGATGGGTCCTGATTACTTAAGACCTTGTATGTTAGAAAAAGGATGTTACATTTGATTCTGGATAAAATAGGGAACCAATGAAGAGAGAGACCAATATGGGAGAGTTAAGCTCTGTTTCTAGTCCCTGTCAGCACTCTGAATGCAGCATATTCCACTGTTCCAAAAAACACTAATGTTAAAGTATCTTACTGTATATTTTACAGTTTTGTACTGTCTTTCTAGAATATCATTAAATGTACATAAGTAGACTGTGATTTTACATGTCAAAGGTAAGATAACATAACATCACTGTAAATATAGTAAAACACAATTTACTTGTTTTTTAAATATATTTTTTTGTACATATGCATATTTAGATTGTAAAAATACATTCAGAAATGTATCATAATTTCACGAATATTTGTCTGTTATGTGAGAGAATGATCTGTTAAATTCAAATGTAATACTATGGAAAAATATATAAAATGATCGAAAATTAATGAGAATAATCAATAATTAAAGGAGTATTTGAATTATAATTTTGCTGAAAATTTCATGTCATCTTGGTCTGATTCAATAATTCAGAGGTAACAAGTGAAAATATAATTAATAGTAATAAAAACTAAAAAAAACATATAAAACATTGCACGGCCACGCTGTGCTAATTATATATTTAAAAAAATAAATGTAGAGGTAGGAATTGCAATTAATATAAATCTCAAAGTATTCACAACATTCTTGAACAGAAATAGGCCTCTGCACCTGGGGTGAGGGTGTGGCCATGAAAACAATGTGACATGCCATTGGATGTTGGGACACATAATAACATGACGCTAAGCATCGGCCAATGAATGTGAACTAACAACCACAAGGTCGTGGGTATGGCTGTACTGTAGGAAAAAATCCTAATATAAAAGTATTTTACTGTGCATTTTACAGTTTTGTTCTGTTCTTCTAGAATATCATTAAAGTTACGTAAATAGACTGTGATTTCACATTTCAAATGTAAATTAACGTTAAATCACTGTAATGTAATGAAACATAATTGCCATGATTATTAAATATGCATATTTAGATTGTTAAAATACATTCACAAATGTATCATGATTTCACAAATACCTGTCCATTATTTAAAAGATCGAACTGTTGAATTCAAATGTAATGCTATGGAAAAGTATATAACATGATTCCTATAAGCTTGTCTTACATCACATAAGTATTATTATCATTGCAATTTAGGGCGATCGTGGCTCAAGAGTTGACAGTTTGCCTTGTGATCAGAAGATTGCCGTTCGAGCCCCGGCTTGGACACTCTCGGTATTGTGTCCGTGGTTAAGACTCTTCGCCTACTGGTGATGGCCAGAGGGGCCGATGGTGCGATACGCAGCCTCGCCTCTGTCAGTCTGTCCCAGGGCATGCAATCCATTATTATTTAAACCAACTGTTAACTGTATATTTCTGTACATTTACGTATTATGATTCATATTGCCACATTCATTGACCTTGTTTATAGGTAATTTCATTGTTTGATCACGTTAAAATGTTCCTAATTTAATGTCTAAAAGCACTTGGAAAAGGCAGAATCCCATGTAAAATTAGCGCAACAAACTCTATTGTCATTACTGAAAATGACTGTATTTTCATGAGAAAGTTATTTTCTGTTATTTTACGGTAGTATTTTGGCGCCCAAGCTGCCGGAATATTACTGTTTTTTTAAGATTTGTTTTTTTTCCCTATTTATAGGTAATTTCATTGTTTAATCACATTAACATGTTCCTAATTTAATGTTTAAAATCACTTGAAAGGGCAAGATCCCATGTAAAATTAGCGCAACAAACTGTATTGTCATTATTGGAAATAACCGTATTTTTATGAGGGAGTTATTTTCTGTTATTTTACGGTAGTGTTTTGGCGCCCCAGCTGCCGGAATATTACCGTTTTGTTTTTTTTTAACATGTTTTTTGTAACAGTGTAGGTCAACTGAAGGCTTTTCAG